GAGAAAGAATGTGAATGTTTAGGCTTTTATGATTAGGTGGGGGCCACTAGAGGCTATAAGAGTTTGATCAAGGCTCCACCATTTTGAGATCTGATGCTGTCTGCTGTATGGTGTCCATCTCCCACGCGTGTGTTCAATAAATCATTGTTTGACTTGACCCGGCCGGACCAGTGTGGTTATTTTTGGTTTTCCTCCTGTATCCATCCCCAATATTTGAATCACACCATCCATCTTTAATAATGTATCTAATTCAACTCCTGTTGACGCCACCACCAGCTGCTTGGGAAAAATTAGAACAGTAACAATACTACCTTGTGAAATGATTTCATTTCAAAATGTGAAATAAACCTGAAGCTACTAAAAAAGCCAGATTGTGGTTTTTACTGCTGAAGGATGAGAGACATTCACGTTGGTGTGTGCAAATGTAAAGCCGTTCCTTTAAAGCAGGGTTTAAAGGCTCCTTTCTCATCCTCCAGTGCTTTATAATGCATGACTTAAATGACTTATGACCACATAAAGCGTTGCCATGGGCCACCTTTTTCTCGTGCGCCCCACTTTGAGAACCCTGGCTTTACATTAATATCAGAAAACCAGCTGATGAATAAAATTAGCAAACACCGCCTTATTACATAAAGTTACAGCACTCGTTTTTCATGCAGTTTTTGTAACTCAGTTGCATAAACACCCATTTCCCCCTCTGCTCCCATGATCCCCTTAAGCAGAATTAATGGATTCTGTAGATTCTTGAGTGCCGACTCAACGATTGCTCCAAGGCAAAAGAAACAATTGCTGTCACTTGAAATCCTAACATGTGATGATGCAAAAGCCCTGAGAGTGAAGATATGTAAAGTTAGGACAATGATCAGTTAACCCAACGTGTGTCATGGTTGGTTACATGCTCGCACGCCCACTCGCCCCAAGCAGGATTTAATCCTTTGGCGCACACATGCACACACACAGTTTACTGAGCAGGACTTTGGCTTCTCCTTTCCTTTGTGTCTGCAGATTTCTTCAAACAACTCCACCAAACTGAATGTGAGTATCTGCAGCGATGCATATTCTGAGTTTAACAATGAAAGTATTTAAAAATTGTTAAAATATATATATATTTTTTTTTCATTATGCACATAGCCATTTATTCAGAATAGTTTATTTTGAGACTGTTTTACTTTTTTTTATTTTAATAATAATAATGTGTTCATAAGGTAAAGGAACAATTTCAGGGACTTGCACTGGTTTCAAACTATTATTTTACAGTTTCTTTGATCAGTGTCTCCACTTCTTGAAGTTTCTGTTTAAATAAACAATGCACTGGTCAGATGTTTTCTCAGGTTATGTAATAGATCACAGTGCGGTAGGTGGTTGTGTTTTGTTTGCTGTATGTTTCATATCTGAAGCCAGACTATTTAAACCTCTTCTTATACGCTGCACTTTGCATGTAACTTGTTCCATCTCACAGAAGTGACTGTCTGAATAAAATAATAGCTTATAGCACAGCAATGAAAAGATAAGCTCCTTAAAATAGGAGTAAACATTAGCCCAGTAGTTAAGTGCTGGACCTTTACTGGGATGCTTCATGATGGTGACACA